ATTGAAAAAATGTTCTACATTCATTAAGAAAGAGAAGCCAATTTATATTCCTTTTTTTTTTTTTTTGATTGGTCGTGGGGCTTAAACTCTGGGCTTGGGCGCTGTCCCTGGGCTCTTCAGCTCAAGGCAAGTGCTCTATCACTTCAGCCACAGCACCACTTGTGGTTTTCTAGTGGTTTATTGGAGATAAGAGTCTCACAGACTTCCCTGTCCGGGCTGGCTTTGAACCTCGATCCTCAGATCTCAGCCTCCTCAGTAGCTAGGATTACAGGTGTGAGCCACCGGTACCCGGCTTACATTCCTTATATTTGGTCATGAGGAAAGTCCCCAACCCCTTGGCTTGAGATTAATTTAAAGTACAGATCCATCATATTTCTGAAATTTGGAGAAAGTTGAATGGCAGTGTACCATGTGTTGGAGGGAATTCAAGTTTCCATTTTTTAATTAAAAATTAAGGGAGAATAAGGCATACTTGAATTTAAATTCAATTATACTATATTAAAGAAATTTTCTCTTGAAAGATCGAAATGAATCAAATGTGCAATATTTTCTTATATTAGTAAAGTATAGGCTATTCTAATCTTTATGTGGCCTATGTATTTTGAGTCAAAATTAGAGAATTATCTTCTCTCTTCTATTATCCCTCAAACTTAATCTCATTATTCTTAGAGAATATTAATAGAATTAGTATTTATTATGAGATGGATAATTACTTTTTTAAAGGGACAAATTTAAGAAGTGAAAAGTAGAATAAAGTATCTTTTCAACCTCATTTATAGTGTTAAATTTCCAGCATAGTCTTACGAGCTTTCTTTAATGAATCTTGCCAACATATGTTGTATAAAAATATCCATGAAAAATTACCAATTCTTCCTGAATACTTTGTTAAAAGTCATGGATTTTTATCAAAGAATAATGAAGTGACAATTTACAAATAAATCAAAGTTAATATTAAGGTCTAAACACATTTTACCCTTAGCTATTCTTTATATGATTGTCTTAATTCTTGTATATTTGACACTAAAATTCATTGATTTTTGACTATTGCAAAAATAATAATGCCACAGTGAAAGAAAATTCGGTAGTTAATGTTAGTTACTTTGCTTGGGTTTTTCAGGTAGGTAAAGAATGATAATCCTATTTAGTCTTTTCATAACGTTTATAATTTATTTTTGTATCTAGTCATGTTTATATAGGATTTTAATAAATATATTAAGAAAATATTCTGTAATATTAGTGCCCGTAATGAGCATTAAATTTTATTGAATGATTTTCAGTGTCTATCTGTCTCCTAATGTGTCTTACCTAATTTGGTAAATAGCTATTTTTTTAAATAAGTTAATTCCCACAAATCAGTTACCTTTAGTATACTAGCTTAAACTCATTTGTTTGGTAGTACTGTTCTTAGCATAAGAAATCTAATTTGATTTGCTAAAATTTTATTAAGGATTTGGTAGTAGAATGATACCAACTTTGCAACAATTAGCAGTTACTAGGATTCCCCTAAACCTCTGAAAGAGTCTTTATAACATGAGGAAAACTTGTTCCTTGGCTACTTGAACAAGAATTGATTCTTGCCATGAAAGCATTTAGGCCTAATATCTTTAAAGAGTATCTCTTATTTTGTTAGTTTATTATTGTACTACAATAAACATTTTAGCCTTTTCTTAAGTCAATTTTAGACTTGCAATTTTTTTTACAGAAAAGTATCTAGGATAATCAAGATTTAAACATTTTGTAATAGATTTTTTAGGCTTAATAGTTTCTTGATGTTCTCTTTTTAAAGATTTGTTTCTATGATTATAGTTTACATAACTAGAGTTTGTTTGTATCTTCTTTTAATTAGATTTGCTAACAATTTATTTTCTTGAGCTTTATGGAGAACCAGCTTTTCATAGTGAAAGATAAATCTTGGATTTATACGTCTATTTTGCATTTTCATTTTGTATTTCAATAATGATGCTGTCCTTTTTTAAAAAAATTACCAACTGCTCCCCCTTGCATTCTTGATAATTATTTTGTTTTGATGTTCCTCTGTATTGGTTTGATGTTATTTCATCTTTATCCATGCTATTTTAATAGTTAATGTGAAGTTTAGAATTTTTGTAAGAACACCTTCAATCATATTCTATATATTTTGATGTCTTCTGATAGTGTTACTACTAGCTTATGACTAGAATTTTGAGGGTTTTTAAAAAATTAAAATAGTGTTACTTATGGGAAACTTCTTAGTTTTGCTTTCATTTGGTATTTTTATTTATTTATTATATTGATTTTGAATAGCAATGCACTGTGCTCAAAGATGTTTGCCTACAAAATGATTTCCATTGTTTCGAATAGAATTTAGTTGTCTAAATTATGATTCACTCCTAGAAATATTTCATGCACTTGGAAAAATAATCTTTCATATATCAAATGACATGGACTATTGGTATCCCGTTTGTGGGTTGAAGCCTTGCCCCTAACATGACAGTGTTTGGAGATCAGGCCTTTGAGAGACAATTAGTTTTGATGAATTCATGAGGGCAAGGTCCTCAGGATGGAATTTATAGTCTGCTTAGAACTGACACAAAAGATTATCTCCTCCCTCTCTCCCATGTGAGGACACTTGATGGCCAACCTGGCTGCTGGTGGCTCATGCCTGTAATCCTAGCTACTCAGGGGGCTGAGGATCATAGCTTGAAGCCAGTCCAGGCAACAAAGTTTGTGAGACTCTTCTCACCACTAAGATGCCAGAAGTGGAGTTGTGCTTCAAGGATAGAGTGCTAGCCTTGAGCAAAAGCAATTCAAGAATGTGTTAGGACCTGAGTTCAAGCCCCAACAACAGCAACAAAAACATAGCTTGTCATCTGCAAGAGAGAAGAGCTCACACCAGGAGCCAAATTTTCTCATCATTTCAATCTTGGATTCCCCAGCCTTCTAGACTGGAATGGTTAGAACAAACATTCTAGAGCAGTGAGGAAATAAATACTTTTTCCATTGTTTGTGCACCCAGTGTATGGTATGTTGTTATGATAGCCAGAGAGCCAAAAATATTGTGTACTGATTATTTCTAATTGCTCTATTATTTCATTCCTATTTGTTTCCTCTGCAAATTAAGAGCTGTGTTCTTCAAGTCCTAATATGAAGAATCTGTTGGAAGAAAATAAAGAGTGGAAAGGCCTCTGACATTCTGCTAGATTCTAGATCCCTATCTGGAAGACTGGAAGAAGCATTTATGCTGACAATGCTGTTAACAACCTGCCCTCAGGTTGCACTGGATAAACCCCAACTGTACTAGTCACAAGTCCAAGTATAACTGAGTTACATGCATGTTACCAAGTTTATACTTTTAAGGGGTGCTGGCCTAATTAAGACCCAAAGATTCTCCTGGACAAACAGTAGCCAAGAAACTAGACAAAAACAGTGCTGGAAACATGGTCTAGGAGGAGACCCAGTAAATTCATGACGGCTGAAAAACTGGGAGTAATTAGCCTATCATCTAAGCCAGAAGTGGAGATGTAGTTCAAGTGATAGAGCACCAGCCTTGAGTGAAAATGCTCAGGGATAGTGCTCAGACTCTTAGTTCAAGCTCTAGGATCAGCATACATTCGCAAGAAAAAATTTCATAAAGAGATAAAGAAATAATTAAATGTGGTAGATAACCATAACATTAAAAGGCTGCAAATTCAAATGCCATCCATGTGCAATTTATAGTCAGATTGTAGTTATAATTTGTCTCTCTCTTAAAAAAACTCAACTAACAAATTTTGTCCTTTAACTTATTGTTTAAACATTTTGCAATAGAAAGTGGCAAGAACTACACTCTTATCAACCTAATTACTTTGACTTCTGTGTTTCCTTTTCCAACTGTTGTTCATACCTGTCTATACCAGGCTGGGTCATTACTTCATTTGGTGAAAAACACAGTTTTAATATATCTAGAGCCAAGAAAAAAGTGGATTTTGTTATTTATTTATTTGTTTGTTTGTTTGTTTTTGTTGGTCATGGTACCTTAACTCTGGGCCTGGGTGCTGTCCCTCATCTCTTCAGCTCAAGGCTAGTGTTCTGCCACTTGAGGCACAGCGCCATTTCCGGCTTTTTCTGCTTATGTGGTGCTGAGGAATCAAACCCAGGGCCTCATGCATGCAAGGCAAGCACTCTACCACTGAGCCACCTTCTCAGCCCCTGGATTTTGTCTTTCTAGTAATCAAAGAATCTGGGAGAAACAGTCCAGCACTTGGAATTCAATGAGGAGAATGGTTATTTAAAAAAAGACAAATGACAAATCAAGACCACTTATAATGAAGAAAAGGAAACTTTGGAACAATTTCATACTGCTTCAAACGATCTAACTGAAAGTAAATATGTGTCTATCTTCACTTCCATTGTTTTATTTAGTTAAAAAAAATGGAATTCTTTAGACCAGGAGAAAATAAATTCTTTCCAAATAAATGCTATAATATTTCAAGCTATGGAACATACTATGACAGAAAGGGGACTATTATGTAAATATTAGAGGAAAGGTTTATATTGATCTTAAAGGACAAAAGAGAATTTGCCTAAAATGCTCATAATAGTCATGAATTACAATTTTATGTTTGAAAAATTATTTACAAAGTCTCTATGTAGTTAGCTTAATTCCTATCTCCAATCCATCCAATAAATATTCATAGTGTTCTTCATAAATGCCCCTTTGGTTTGGAGAAAGTGTAATAAAACATGATTTTTTTTCTCTCATAACTACAATAAAGGAGGAAACAGCAACATTACAGTGTAATCAGCTTTGTGATCAGAACGCTTAATTATAATGTCAGGTGGCCCTGTTTGAAGCCTGTCTGAAGTCACACAGCCAGCTATGAGCATTATAAAGACAAGAATTCTGATTTCTTGATTCTGTGTTCACTCTGATTTCTACTACAACAATACTTCCTGTCACATCACATTAAATCCAAGCAAATTAATAGGAGCTCTGCTTTCAAAGTAAGAGTCATCACAGATTCATTTGAAAGTGGCCAAACCTGGTCGCAGTTGGATGGATACTTCTTCTGGAGTCACTTGAGTGTTAATTTCATTTTCACTTTCTACTATTACATGCACAGATGGGTTCTCTATAGAATCAGCTGAGCAGCCTTTGCGTATTAAATTGGAAACCGTATCACAACGTTCACTTCTTGATTCACCTGAAATGAAATCCTGTTTAAAAAAAAAGGAGGATCCTGATGTTTTTAGTGCATATTATCTGATAGTACCAAAAAAAAGACACACAAAGTAAATATTGCAAAGCAGCCATTTGTAGTGCAGAACAAATTATGAGACTGTTTAAAATAGTTGCATGTTCCTAATAAGAATACTGGCAAATTTGTCATAAACAAAACTTTAATTTCAAACCTTATTTAAAAAGAAGAAAATGAATTATTAAAGAGGAAATTCAAACCAAGCACTTTAAATGCTGTTAACTGATCACTGTAAAATTACACCAATGTGATTCTTTCTAACTATTTGACTCGAGAATGACAGAGCCAAAAGAAAATTTTGCCAAAATAGACCATTCATTGGCTCCAAATGTGAGACTCATATCTCAAAGGACTTCATTGGTATATTTATTATATCCTGTTTTGTTTGTAATATGAGAGGGACTCCTTGGAAATCATATGCTTAATTAAATACTGAAAGTTCATGAAATTGAAAATTGGATATTGAATTTCCTAGAACATAAAAGCACCTAACTTCATAGATGCCAAATTGCCTGTCAATAATTTGATAAAACAAAGAAGTTGTGTGTGTGTGTGTGTGTGTGTGTGTGTGTGTGTGTGTGTGTGTGTGATGAGTTGGAGATATGAAGGCTCCAGCTCAAATTCTCCTGACTTTGAACTCAATCTAAAATTTCAATATCATTTAGCTTGGAATTAATGGAATAAGCTTAAAATTTCAATTTATTTTGGCTGAAAATAAAATAATACTTCTAGTTTTCATTTAACTATTCAAGGTTTTTTCCTAAGGTTAGAAAACTATTGAAAAGTAGCCAGGCACTGGTGGTTCATGCCTGAAATCTTACCTACTCAAGAAGCTATTAACTGAGGATAGAGACTCAAAGTCAGCTCTTTCTGACATATCTCTGGGACTTGTATCTCCAATTTCCCACCAAAAAATCAGAAGTGGGGCTGGGCAAGTGGCTCAGTGGTAGCATGTTGCCTTGCATGCATGAGGCTCTGGGTTCTATTCCTCAGCACCACATAAGCAGAAAAAGCTGGAAGTGGCACTGTGGCTCAAGTGGTAGAGTGCCAGGCTTGAGTAGAAAAGCTAAGGTAGAGCTCCTTGACTCTGAGTTCAAACTCTAGTATAGGCACATGATAAAAGGAAAATCATTGAAAAGTATGATAATGTATCTTATCATGTGTAATGCTGGTCTAAAACATATGGGATAATTATTTATAAATACACTTAATATTTTCTCAATGACTTTCCTGACAGTAGCAGTTTTGATTTAACCAATCTTCCTTTTGTTCAAGTGATTCAGCGAATTGGATACTAATTAATTAACTATTCAACTAAAGAATATTGATTGAATATTTACTCGGGGACAATAGTTACACACTGAAGATATGAAATGGTATGGGTTGACTAGTGACCTTAAAAGCAATCAACAAACCATTGAGGAATTCATCCAGTAAGCAAGCAAACGAAATTATCGTGGGAATTAAGCATAGGAGAAGGACATATAGTCTTTAGGTTAAGGAGTAAGATCATCAAGTTTAACCGGACATGAAAGCTAAAGATGAGGTCATTGACTAATTACAAATAAGGACATCTCTGGCATTGAGGAGCTGTTAGATGAGATGATGGGGGGGGTGACATAAAAAATTCATACAAAAATTTTGTTCCTTCCTCAGTTTAAAACAGGCTTTGCAAACAAGGGTCAAATCAAACAAATGGAGCCCTAGGCCTGTTTTTATATGATCTGAGCATCAAAAAATGCTTCAATATCTTTAAAAGATGTATAAAGAAAAATGTGCCATCCAGACAATATGTAACCATGATGACTGAAAGTATACTTTTCTTTGTGTCCATCTCCAAGTGAGAGGTCAGGTCATATGTGAATTTAAGGTCACAACAAATATTATTGTACTACATCATTTCATAGGTTACTATGTAAGTTTAGAAGCTTTTTAGCTTTCTATTTCCAATCAACTGGATATGATAAAATGGAGTTCATAGTGGAGATGCCTAATGTCATGGTCAAACTGGACATCGTTCTTAAATTTCAAATATAGTTCTGCTTGAATACTTAATTACAAGCATACTTAAAAGGTGAAAGGGAATGTGTCATTCTTCCCAATCAAAATTTTCAGGTGTCATTGGAGCACAATGGAGACAGAAACATTATAGTTGCTTTGTGGTTAACTATGGGAGACCATGGTAAGACTAGGAGATACAGAAGGTGAGGTACATTGTATCCAGTTCCTCAGAGAAAAGTGGCTAATAATTTTAGGGCATAATACCTGTCATGTTCTCCCAGTATACCCTAGGCTAGGTGAGAACTCCTGCTTTTTCTATGTATGAGTGTCACCGAACGTGTCTGGCAGTATATAATTCATGTTTCTTCTTATTTGCTCATTCTTGTCTAGCATGACATGTCACATAAGGCCATATGCATTTTACAGATGTTAAAAAACACAAGATTTTTGAATCATAGAAAGGAAATAAGGGTCAAATAGCTCCCTATTTTTTCCCAGCCAGCTAGGGAGTCTGTTATGTGTGTAACAAATGAAGAAAAAGGAACGATGGTTAATTTTACCGTAAGTGTACATCAAGCTATGATGCCATGTGACCTTTAAATGTCAATTGGTTTTGCTGAAATCAGCAAAATATTCTCAATTATTTTGTAATGTCTGAATCAGCATGGCTGTTTTTACCCCACTGTGAAACAAAGGCAGGAAAACACTGCCAATTGGCCAATTAGGTTTGAAAAGGGAAGAAAAGAGCAAGGCATCAAAATCAAGAATGGAATGTTGTCTCTGCCCAATGTGGCCTACTTTCCACTTCATATAAAAGAAAGCAATTTGAAACCGCACCCTTTTAATTTGGGGTATTTTGTGTCATTTTAATTTCTTATAATCCTTGTATTTTTACTTTTTTTACAAGGAAAAACACCAGCAAATTTATATTCCAACTTTGTGCATCTAAAACCAATTGAGAACGAAAACCCTGGGCTGAAGTTACTTTGGCTGGCTGTTCACCAGTTGTTATTTTCATCCCTTTAAGATAATAGTCTGAGTATAAAAATAAAACAAAGGGTTTTTGTTGTTGTTTTGTTTTGTTTTGTTTTCCCCTCCACTTGTCTTTTAAAAAAGATTTTATTGTAAAGATGCTGTATAGAGGGGTTACCGTTACATGAGTATGGTAATGAGTACATTTCTTGTCGAACATTGTTACCAACTTCTTTGTTTTTCATCCCTTTAAGATAATACTATGGGCATAAAAATAAAAGAAAGTTTTTGTTTTGTTTTGTTGTGTTTCCTCCCCTACTTGTCTCTTATGTCTGAGGCTTTTTTTTTGGGGGGGTGCTGGTACTGGGGCTTGGTCTCTTGATCTTGCTTGTTTTTTGTTGTTGTTTAGCTTTGTTTTATTTTTTATACTCAGGGCTGGCATTCTACCACTTGAGCAACATCTCTACTTCAGGTTTTCAACTGGTTAATTGGGAATAAGAGTCACAGATTTGTCTTTCCAAGATGCCTTTGAACCATGATTTTCAGATCTCAATCTCTTGTGTAGCTACGATTGTAGGCATGAGCTACTGCCTGATTGCTTGAGTATTATTTACCTCTATAATAGCAACTTGCTTTGAAGTGGAAAAATTCTATCACATTCCTTTGGACAATGAATGCCCTTCATGTTATGTTTTAGGATAACTGTGCTCTGAGACTCCCTTTGAAACTACAAAAAAAATTTTTTTTGAAACGACAAAATTTTTATTTGACTTTTTACTTCTGGTCAACTTTCAAAATTATATAAACAGGATTATTTCATGGCTACTTTTTTCTCATTATGAAGATTAAAAAAATCTTTTTTGTCCTTCCTTTTCCCTCCAGCCATGCTGCCTAAGAAACCAGAGACATTTGTCATATCTTAGAATGAATGACAGGTGATCTTCTAACACTTTCTAACACAGCTTGCTTCCCAGTGGTGTCTGGTCAGCCACAGGGAGAGAGTGGACAGCTCCTCCTGTTAACAATGTGGACAGTGGCCGGCACCTAGCACTGTGTACCTCCTCTGAAGTTGTGTTATTAACACAAGCACTCTGCCTGGTTACCTAATTTCTTTACAGTTAAAAGTCCCACATTTTAAACAATGCCTGTGTATCACACCCTTCCCACATTATATCTCCCCAGTAGTGTGGGGCAAGTGTCATGAATATTTTCCTCTTAGCAAAAACAGGAATCAAAAATTATGTTCAAGGTTTACCAAGTTAGAAACTGATGGAATTAGGATTTGAATCCCATTTTGTTTCTCTTTAAAGCCTGATTTTTCAAACTCTCAAGCCTACTACACTGAGTATATATAGTAACAGTAGCATTTTGAGACAAGAGCAGCTAGGTGAGTTTTTCAGTGTTTTCCCTGAGATCCACTATAAAGGAAATGGCCTTCAGTTGACACAGGTTACTATCTACTCTGCCAGCAGCTACCTTCCACACCCCCTCCTTCCACAGTAACCTATCCCTCTGAATACCCCAAATCACTCCTTTTGGGCAGGATTAACTCTTATTCTCAGACCTATGAATTTTCTGACTTTTGGTATGGATTACAAAGATGGAGAAAGGGTCCCTCTGTACCCAGATGTAACAACTGATTGCTAAATGTGCTTCTGTGCTATCTGTTCAAAGTTTCTCCTAAACTTCTGTCATTAAGGCATGCAGCAGCCAAGGCTGGGTTAGCACAAGCCTCAGGGTCAAGTGGCCCATTAAACCAGCAATGGAGTAGTGGTTTAGGATCAGGAAATAGCAAGTCATGGAACATTTCTTTCATACTAAAACCTATATGCCAACCCCAAATTCAAGATTTGTAATAAAAAGATGCTCAAAGAATGGAGTTGATTTTGTCTTGTCTTTGGAACTGATGTGATGGGATCCAGAAACTGGGATCTTCTCTGTGGTGCTGTCTGGCTATGAGGGCTGATAATCTGATCACTGGTGCAGCCAGAGGCATTTCTAGGGGGTTTCAGACTTCCCATTATCCAGATTGACTTTTAATCATAGCTGCTGTTTGGTGAATTTCTCCCTTACTTTAACCTTGACTTGCTTCCTTTAAAAAAAAAAAGTTTCCCTTCCTTGACTACTTTTAGGTTTCTTTCTCTACCTTGAGTAGGCAATGGACAAGCAGGAACAAGGGAGGGTGGAAATATGATGGTGAGTGCAGTCACTGAGCTAAATCAAAAAAAGACAAAACCTAGAGATTTATGTCCATGTCAAAGGGCCTTTAAAAGCCTGTCTGATCCAATTTCCAGGAGCTACACACTTATGCAAAATTACAGAGGAAATCTCATAAAGAAGAAAATCCAGTTTAATAGATGGCTCTTTGGTAAAACTTATTAAATATAGCTATCTGTGATTGAAGGTCTTTTTTTTAAAGAACTCATAAATAAATAAAATTCAAGAATGCTTTACTTAGAATTTTGTCGTTAAGGTTTGTTTCTCTTCAAAAACACAAATCCTGAATCATAAACACTTTCTGAGAATTTCCCAGAATTTAATTGTATACTTTCTTATGGACAAGATCCGGCCAAATTGATGCAAAGTGTTAAGAAATGGAGATTACTTAACTTCAAGTGTTTTAAATAAAAGCATATGAAATGCACCAATGAATTGTCTTGCTTATCTTTACTAAACAAGTATAAGGGACAAGCCCAATTTGGGTGTATGCCTCAAGCTACAGCAAGAATTTTACAGCAAGGTCTATCAAACTGTGAAAAGTTACTACTTGCATTTGCCAATTTTCTCTACAGCCAGACAGAAAACATAAACTGGTTTCTATTTTATTTCAAATTTTTCAAAAGTATAAACTGGCTTGTAGTGTATTTCCAAGTTTTCCTTATAAAAAAGTTACTCAATTATATATTCAGCCAGATGTGCTGTTTGCAAGCATCAAGCCAAATAATTTCCTGATGCTCACTCAGGATTATCTTTCCTTTTCCTGATGCACTGTTAAGGCACAGAATATTAGTGCAGCGAAATCATGCTAGAGAGGCAGTCACGCATAAGGAAATGAGAAAGAAAGGAAAGGCACACCTTCTGAACACACCATCCACATTCTGGACCCAAGGCAAGGCACCTTGCACACGATGCTGCATTTGAAGATACACATCTACTGTCTTCTGAAACAGAGGATAGGAGGAACCATTATGGTTTATTTTGAAATTAGGCTATGCATGCAATTCTTAGCCACATCTTGTAAATGAAATAATATGACCTTTTATTTCAGTACCTGCCATCACATAATGTATAATTTCTTAAGAAACAGTTAACTTGCACTCAAATAGATACCTAAATAATGACTGGTTTTGTGAAGTTGGGAAAATGATTAAAAATGTGATTTTAGTCAGATTTTTGGGGCTTTGGCTTAATTTTTTTCTGCAATAGTAAAGGATCTTCCATATTCTTTAGTTCACTGAAGTCTAGTATTTCATTTTCTCTGAGCCATGTTGGTGTTTCTCTGGTTCTAAGGTTTTCTTATAAAAATGAGCATATACAGATATAAAGTCAATTCTCTATGTTGATTCATAATAAACGAAGCTTCTGAGACATTTAGAGTACTTCAAGTAGAAGTGATTATGTTACTGTTGGTTATTTTGGTGTGAATAACAGAACCAGACATAATGGCATTATTCAGTATTTTAGGAGTATAGTAGTTAAACAGAACTGAACAAGTTAATCCAATTTAATTTTTTCCGATTGGATCACATGAGGATCATGAATAATAATTTACTTTTCCATGGAATCCTGTGCTGGACTATCTTCTTTTACTTTTTCTTTTCTTTTGTCAGTCATAGGGCTTGGACTCAGGGCCTGGACACTGTCCCTGAGCTCTTTTGTTCAAGGATAGTGCTCTACCACTTTGAGCCACAGCACCACTTCCAGTTTTCTGGCGGTAAATTAGAGATTAAGAGTTTGCTGGACTTTCCTGTCTAGGCTGGCTTTGAACCACAACCTTCAGGTCTCAACCTCCTGTAGCTAGGATTACAAGTAAGAGCCACTGACACCCAGCTCGAATATCTTTTAATCCTTAGTTATACTTGGAAACTATTTGCATTTTTCATCTACTAACTACTTAAACAATTAAAACAAAGTTCAGTATAGATTTATATACACAAACTACAATCAGTATAGATTTATATACACAAACTACAATCTTGAAAGAGTCACGCAGCATTTTATGTCAGGTTTTAATGGATTGACCCCATGTGTGCTAGAGTTGATCGTTTAACAATAGGTATATGAAGGCCACTGGCAACCCCAGGCTGATTCCATCACTCAGATTCACAGTATCCAGGCTCTAAGTCATTCACAGTCCAGGTGAGGAGAGAACCCAGTGAGGAGCACAGAGAGACTTTTGAAGTTGCCATGGGAATGTGGCAGCAGTTGCTTGGCACTCTGCTTCAGAGAGGTGCAGAGGAGTGAGGGAGGAGGGTATCTTTAAAGATGGTACCCTAGAGGAAGTGACATCTGGGAACTCTCTTCACCATCTCATTTTGGGTTTTTAGACCTGTGTTTATCTCTTTAACAATGCAGCAGTCATTGTAGAAAAGTGTGTACATCTGTGTACGCAACCACATATGGACATGGCAATTGAAAGGGAGAGGGATCATAAAACTCCCATTCCTTCGTTTCTCTCTTTCTTCTTCTCTTTCAATTTTCCCAAACAATCTGGAACCCAGGATAAAAGCAGTTCTGACTTGGATGTGTCATACCAGGGTGTTGGCAGTGGGCCCAGAGGACAGAACCACAGAAAAGGATGCTAAATACAAGAGAGTCCTGGCAGTGAGTACCCTGCTCTGCATTTCCCCAGGTATGGTTTAGATTAATTGGAACACATTCTTCCTCAACCGATCTATTATTTACACTCTATCCCCTGTACTCTGTCTTTTTGTCCTCAGCTTTTTGACAATGTTCTTATACATTTTTTTTTGAAAGTTCTTCATTCGTGTTTCCAGATCTGGCCTAAAATTCCAACAACTAAAAATAACTTATATTATGGGCTTTCTTTACTACCAGCTTGGCCATCTACATCTGAAGAATCTCTAGCCTAAAAAAAAAATCTTCCATCTGGCTTAGTCTTCAAAAACATAAAAACTGCTTATTCCTAAAATATTCAGAAGAGTGAGTGACCTTTGCAATTTTGTTCCCAGAAAGGAAACCAATATAGGTCTAGAAATCAAGCAGGCTGGAAAAATGCTATGGTATGAATGATTCCCTGAAAAACATTTGCTGAAAACTAGTCTCCAATGCAATAATAGTATTAAAAGGCATGACCTTCAGGAAGTGGTTGGGTTGGAGGCTCCTCCTTTGTGAACAAGATTGGGCTTTTAGAAAAGAGGCAACCACACAGTGGTTGGCCCCATTTGACCTTATGCTTATTTGCCATGTGAAGGCAGAAGGTTCTCAGAAAATATTGAGTGCCAGCACCTTTATCTTATATTTCCCATCCTCCAGCACTGTAAGAAATATATTTCTTTAAATAATACATAAATTACCTAGAGCCAGATAATTAGTTGAAGCAAACATGATGGAACCTAACTTGACCTTTACAGTCCACTAACTTTGACTCCACCAGAATATGGAGTGAATTCTATTTCAGTTCAGAACTTGAACAAACCTCTCATTCATGGATAGGATTTTTGCATTGACAGTTACAATTGTAGAATTGTGGAAGGAAAGCTGCAGAACCTAGGACTTTGGTCTTGGTTTGTGATGGTTATTGGATCCTGTCTTGTTACCCCAAACTCAAGATCTTGCTTCTTTAGCACGCCTGAGCTATAACAAATTCCCAGATACTGCTTTCTTTCCTGTATATTATCTTCACTTTAGAAAGTTCTGGTGTTAGGCTTTATTCTCAACTTCAGAAATCCAAGGATGATAATTGAGATGCATAGAGACTTGGTTCTGTCCAATATATACCACTTTTCAGGGTTGGCATTTCTCAATCAACAATACCGGACTAAAGATCCTATAAGTGGATGTGGAGGAGGTAGCCTTCCTATTCCACAGAACTGCAGGAAGACCATAAATTGAACTCCAGGGGAGCAGTGTCAGGCTTTATTTCTGGAGAGTGTCACGGTTACATTTCACAGAAGGCATGCCAGATACACTCTGACATGCAGGGTTTTAAGGAGTTTCTTTTTTTATTTTAAAATATATAAAAGATTGAAAGATCCAACATGTAAATATGACACCAATTATGGCAATTCTTGTTACTGGATAGACAAACTATTAACAGTATTATTAACATGTATTGAGAATCCTCTTCCTTCTCCCTCCTTTTACACCCGCTCTACACACACATACAACGTATCCTTCTGTGGGAGTAGAAATATCTAACCTGACCACATATCAGTGCACCACTGCTGTTTACAGACACTGGCATTTGTCATCAGCTTCTGGGGTCGCTCAGCTCATTTGCCTCCCATCCCTAAGCAGGGAAGTGTTTTATCTGGGATGGTTTCTTAGCAGCCCTTAGCCTTACCCTGACAACTCATTGAGTGTAAGTCTCAGTGGCTCTTCTTTCCACACTGAGGTTATAATTGCTGCTTGTTCACCCATTTATCCAGAGACCTTGTACTAAGAATCCTGATCTTTGTATTTTAGCACTGCATGCTACGACAAATGGATATTTATTGACTCTAGTAAAATTTTTTAACAAAAAACTAGGATAGTATTTTAAACTACAAAACTTTAGACATTTTTTTTTTTGTGTGTAAGAGAGTTATAGGGCTTGAACTCAGGGTCTGGGCGCTGTCCTTTAGCTCTTTCACTCAAGCTACAACTCTACCACTTTAAGCCCCAACTCCACTTTTGGCTTTCTGGTGGTTAATTAGAAGTAAGTTTCATGAACTTTACTGCCTGAGTTGGCTTTGAAGTGCAATCCTCAGATCTCAGCTTCCTGAGTAGCTAAGATTACAGGCATGAGCCACTTGCACATGGCTGGCGTTTTTTATTTTGTTTTTTTAAAATTTTTTTTTGTTTTATGTCTTTATGAATCCTGTGCCATTAAAAATGTGATTCCTTGCCAGGCACTGCTGACTCCTGCCTGTAATCCTAGCTACACAGGGGGCTGAGATTTGAGGACTGTGGTTGGAAGCCAGCCCAGGCATGAAAGTCCATAAGACTTTTATTTCCAATTAACCACCAAAAACATGAAGTGGAGCTGTGGCTCAAGTGGTAGATTGCTATTCTTGAACTAAAACACTCAGGGATAGTACCCAGGCCCTGAGTTCAAGCCTTAGGACTGTCACTCATATACATACATACACATAGATACATCATAGAAACCAGTAAAGGACTTAGCCTGCTGCCAATTAGTACACATATACTAAATGATCCAATTCCTTGCCCTATGAGCAGAAGCTGAGCTGGAGTCTTACTTTTTCTCATTCTGTTATGTAACAGAGATGACCAGGTAGTATCAAGGTTACTAAATGGTTCCTGGGAAAGAAACTTCCAAGCATCTATGGTGTTTCCAATTACTAGGCTAATTATTTAAAATTTCTAAGCCTAGCTGGACACAGGTGGTTCACACCTGTAATCCTATGGTGGTTCACACCTGTAATCCTATCTACTCAGGAGGCCGAAGTCTGAGGATCCTGGTTCAAAGCTAAATCTGGAAGAAAAGTCCATGAGACTCATCTCCAACTAACCACCAAAAACCCAGAAGTGGAGCTGTGGCTCAAGTGGTGAAGCACTACCCTTGCACTCAGTCATAATTCTGAAAAGTAAATAAGTTAAATAAATACATCCCTTAGAATAACTTCCTTTTCTTCACATTTTGCAATGTAAACATTGACTGAAGTTGACTAATTTTGGTTTCCCAGAATTAGTTGTCTGTAATACATGAAAAAATGACCTGTACAGCTGCTTGTCATAAAAAGATAGTAAATAACCATCAACAGCAGGAAACAGCACACAACTACCAGGAAATGTCATATTCGGGACACACACTTCCCTATTTTTGTTTCAGATGTTACCATTGATTTAGCTCATTTTGAGTACATTTAGTCAATAGTAGTGAGGAGAATTAAATGTACAAAAATACCCAAACAAAAGAGAAGAGCAACATAAAAAAACAACAAAACACCCCTTCAAAACTAAAACAAGGCAGCAG